AGACGGGTATGCAAGACGTTTCAGACTAGACTTGACGGCAGCTGCGGACATTTCTGACTAGTCATGTCGGCAGTCTCCCTTCATTTTTTGCTTACTTGGGTACATGCTAAATCTTTTATCTTATCTCTTCTCGCTTACGATGTGACCGATTATTACGTACTTGCTTCAGAAGACCCATTTAGAACATTATATTTTCAAATAGTTATTCCGTTCAATAAATATTCTGAATACTAGGCGTACTGAAGAGTAAAATGAGTCATACTCGTAGACAACGTACTAGAGAAAAGAAAATGAAAAAATATGCTTAGCCGATTTATCTTTACACTGGTGGAAGAAGAAGTTATTCGGTAGTTTACCATTTTCGATCATGAATATGATATTAATCAACAACGATACCGAGAGAAATATTTGTAGAAAAGCGCATTTGAATAAATTAAACAATCGAAATTGAAGTTGCACATTTTTCTCTGATAATACATGTTCAAAAACTCACGACGAGGAGACCACGAGGCTATTCAGTATCACTACTCAAGTAGAACACAGTCTTACTGTAAAATCAAACGACAGATTATGCAATGTTTTATGATAGCTGGATTTTATTTCAATATTTTTATCAAAGTAAAATATAGATTGCGTGAATAAAAGTTATTTTTCTCACATTTCAATAAGATTTATAGTTGAAATGACAAGCAGAAAATAAAGAATGTTTTAGTGGTGTTGACTCCCATAGCCAAAGATAGCTGGAATGATTTGCTGGAGGAGACTAGCGCCAATATTTTCATATACCCTTTGTTGGCGTTCTTTTTGCATGTCAGCATTTTGTGCAGCTGCAAGACCATTGAAATATTGCGTACAGTTCGATGAGAGAAGAGCTACATTGGCACTATTTTGAATGTAGGCTACTTCCTGTGCTTTTTGTTGAAGAAATTGCGCAAATGACCCATTAGAGTTCAATTGTGCGAAAACCGCTTGGCTTTTGCTAAGAAATGCTTGAGCCAAACTATTATTGCCGCACAATTTTGATCCCCACTTATTGGTATCACCGCCCGATGAAAAATGATCGCCATGAGCCGATGGGAAAGGATGGTCACGATCCGATCGTTTTCGATCAGAACGACG